ATATATATATATATGTATATATACAATCAATTAGTGAAAATCCAAGTATACAATTGACAACAAACTTTCACTCATTATGATTATGAGAAATATTGTATATGTGTTCATCATAATCTAACTGAAATACGAAATGCTAATGTATAATTTTTATATATATTCACTGCAAACGTACCCATTACATGCTCATAAGGGGATTCAAAACGGATCATAAGATCATCGTGCCTAATGGAGCAATGGAATATGTATTAATATTGTACAGCGAGATTATTTTACTGCGATATTCTTCATTTGCAACGTTATGCATGAGAATGCGTTTCATTACCATTCGTGTTCACACTACCCCCACTCCTTAGACCGAGTAACATAGCCATCCGCGAATTATTATTTTTTGAAAAAAAACTTGAAACGCGTATTCGATGTATGTATTTTGAAAAAAACGACGATTTTCTACGCGGACTTGTCGGTGATACTGGTGTTGAAGAATACGTTTTGTGTTGATCTGAGCTACCTAATCTCTTCAGGACATGCTTGGCCCTGATCAAGGCTATGATGGTATGTATGGACAAGGACCCCCTAGTGTACACAGCAGCCATGGAGGCCGAGGGTATCAACCGCAAGGTAAGTTACGAACCTTATCCTTTTTTATCCAGTTATTGCTTTCGGATCGATCGATAGAATCGATCGGGCGTAGATGAATTTTTTTTCAAAAAAAAAAAAACAAAAATGGATTTTCACGATATTTTTTTCTTTTGTTTTCGCGTTTTGTTTAACGGTGCGATCTTCGAAACTTTTGATACGCCTTTGTAACCCACAAATCATCCATTATTGAGATCTTCTTCATTTCTGCATTTCGAGAATCGAATTGGTATTGGTAATGCGGATTTATGTGTTTTTTTTCGTGTTTCTTTTTTTTTCTATCTCTCTCTCTTTCTCTCTCTCTCTTTCCTCTCCCCTACTTGTGCGGTATATACGAGAGTTAAATATTTTTTTTTAACCCTTTTCTTTTCTAAAAAAAAAAAAAAAACAATCGATCATAAGAAGAAAGCAATGCATTTAATTCTATGTTATTTTAACAGCAGCTTAACCCACGGACTTATATTAAAGTACAGGCTATCAACAGTATCTCGCAGTAACATAGGTGATACTCAGCTCTTACGTACTGTTCTGTTATTATCTGCTTTGTTATTAATCGCTATGTGTCGCTA